CGCAAAGTTGCAAGTTCGAGTTTACTGGGTGACAAATGGCTCTGCTAGAACCACAATTGGCTAAGATCTTTGGAGGAATCAGCCTTGACTCTGAATTGCAGATCTGTTTTGGTAATACAAAATCACAACACATAATGGAAAATAAACAAAAAAAACGTGATAAAAACCACGTGACGAAAGCAAACCAAAATGGTAAACAACCACAGCAAACATCAACAACAACCAATAGTAGTTAGAAAACAACAAGTCATGTGAAGCAAAAAAGCAACAGAAAGTTCTAAAAAAAACCCGTCATAGCTAAATTAACAAAGATGAAATTAAAGATATACATGAAGATATAGAGATGTATAGACAAGATTATATTAACTCTACAATACTAGAAGGTATGAAAGAGGTAATAGCAGATCTCTAGAACTGTAAAGAAGTAATATCTGACAAAATAACAAACACAACAATAGAAGAAAAAATGGCAGAATATGCTGGGCAAGAGCTTATTTCAAAAGAAATAGCCAATAAATGAATAAAAGAGCTCTATAAAGAGTTATGGTACTACAGTGCAGACAACTTAGTCCCAACCAATAAAAATTTTTAGTAGCAAAATTCAGATTTTATTTTATATATATATAAAGAGGCCAATTTAAAAATTTAGCTAATCTTTATATATAAAGTAGCCAAATTTAAAATTTTAATATATATAAAAATAAAATTAATTGTTTAAAGAGGCCAAATTTACTTTTTTTATATATATAAAAAGTGGCCAAATTTCATATTTAATTATAAAAATACTATAACTTCAACTTGCTATAGCTTTTTTATAAATAGATTTAAAAAAAATTTAAGAACTTGGAAGAGTTTAGCTTGTTTTGATTTAATATTTTAAGATAGTATTTTTTGGTTACTAATTTTTTTGTAAAAGGATTAGCAATTTGAATTGCATCAATTTTATTAGTCAGGACTAGGTTGTCTGTACTGTATAATATAAGAAAATCAAAGTATACAGAATCTGCATTTATAGAAAGAGAATAGGAAACGTTTTTGAAAGCAATTCAACAAAGAATAGACCTAGTTAATTGTATTATAAAAGAAGAAATTGTTGGTTACTTAGTAGAATTAAGAATAGCTGATGGAATCAGAAGATTATTAGTAGAAAGGAAGAAACAATATGCTGCATTAAAAGCAAAATTAGAATCAGGTTGGAGCAAAAGACTTCAAGAACAAAGAAAAAGCTAACAAAGACAGCTCAACAAAACAGCCCTAAATTCTACAATATATTATTTCAGGGAATCGGTCAAGACTATAGCAATAAACCAACAAAAAATAAGAAAAAAAATAAAGAAAAAAGAAAAGATACAAGTTCAACAAGAAAAAAGACAAGTTGCTAAAATAAAATCAAAGTTGGATATAGGTTAGAGCAAGAGACTTAAAAAACAAAGAAAAATCTGACAAAGGCAGAATAATAGCTCAGATTTAAGAACTTTATTAATATATTTTAAAGTATCTGTTGAATTTGCTCTAGTATGCTAAAAAAGAAAAAGAAAAAAAATAAAGAAAAAAAAACAAAATAAAAGCAAAAGACAAAACATTCCTGATCTCATAGAGGCTAAAATATTAGACAAGATTCAAGAGGAATCAAGCCCCAAAATCATTTTAACAAACTCAGAAGATTGGTTAACAGAGGTAATATATCAAATTAGTATTAAAGATGATTCAAAGTATAATAAGAAAATATGGAAAAAGACGAAAAAAGACCTTTTGGCAAAATGGATATATGGACTGAAGTTCCAATGAAACCTGAATACAAATTCATCTCAAAGTACAACATCTAGACTGAGAGGTGTCAAGAATTAGAAAAAGAAAAAGGATACATTATTAGAAATACTAGAAAAGATCTTTGTAGGGTATTTCAGAAATCGAAAGATCTTTAATGAAATACAAGAAAGATTCTTTGTTAAAAATAACTATTCATCTCAAAGGATCGGTAGAATTGTAACATTAATATATAAAGAGAAATCGTCAAATAATTAGAAACCTGTAGCTTTAAAAGAGAGATTATACTATATTATCGCAGAGGAGCATCTGGCTGTTGGACATGGGGGCACAAGAGCTACTTATAAACAAGTATCAGATAAATATCATAGTATAAAAAGATGCTTAGTTGATAAATTTGTTAAAATGTGTAAAACATGTAAAACACGCAGATTATCTAGCAAACCTTTAGCCATAAGACCTATTATTAGCAAGTTTTTTATGCAACGGCTTCAGGTATAAGATGATTTTTTTTTAAAAAAAAAGGTTTTTTTTTTAAAAAAAAGGAATTTTTTTTTTTTTAATTAAAAAAAAAATTAATAAATAACTTTTTTTTTTTTTTACTAGATTGATTTTATAGATATGCGAACTAGAAGAGATGGTGAATTTAAATAGATAACACATGCCAAAGATCATTTCTCACATTTTTCTTGGGCCGCATTCTTACTGATAAATGTGCAGCAAAGGTAGCTGTGTTCTTGTTTGATATCTTTACTGTATTTGGACCGCGATCTTTCTTCAAAGTGATAATGGGCGTGAATTCACTGCAGATATTATTAACAATCTCTCAAAACTCTGGCCAAATCTTAAAATAATCCATGGAAAGCCGAGAAGGCCACAAACCCAAGATTCTGTAGAGAGGGCAAATTTTGTATTAAAGGACAAATTTGGAAAGTGGCTTGAGAATCGACAAAATAAAAATGATGATTTATGTTGGACAGTTAGCTTGGCAACTGTAATTTATTTAATAAATTTATCTGTATGTCATGCTACTAATAAAAGACCATTTGAGTTGATTTTTGGTCATGAGCCTCGTGGCAATTATGTTCTTTTAGATCAGCTTTGGTCTCAAGGAATTCGATATGAAGAAAATATTCCTGATGACGTTGAAATTGAAAACTGTGATGATATTCAGTTTGATAATAATGAAAATAATATCCAGACTGAAAAAGATGAATATGAGGACGAAAATGAATTTAATAAAAATTGGGTTCAAAATCAATCGCCAAGCAAGAATGATGATAATATATCTTTTATAGTAAGAATTGATTTTATTTAAAAGATAGAAATTAAATAAGTCTCAAATTTTTTCTTCGTATCTCAGAATTCTCCACTATCTAATTCTATACTGCAGTACATGGTAAGTATAAAAATCTTAAAACTGAAAGCATTAAAGTTCTGAAATATGAAATTATCGCCACCGACTAATATGATATTCAACAAAAAAAAATTAGAGTTCATTGTCGCCACCACCGCCTAATACGATAGTAAATATTAGAATTAACGAATATGTAATTGTAATTAAGAGATTACGTTTACTTCAACAAAAAAAAAAAATTCGGAGTTCATTGTTGCCGCCACCTCAAATGATGGTAAGTATTAGAATTAATGAATATGTAATTGTAATTAAGAAATTACTTTTACTT